TCGACCTAGGTTTACTAAGCGCAGGTCTTCGAAAAAAACAACCTGCGTTCATGCCTCGATGTGACCAGCATGTCATCCTTTTTTTTTTTTTTTTGTCGTGGCGACGGGGACCATGATCCACGGTGTCATCGCACTTCGCAACACGGCATTACAGAAACTCCGGTGGATGCACTCTCATCACATGACAGCAATGACGGCTTGGAAAAGAGATCCCCAGACGGCAATGAAGGCATGTCGAACCCTATTTCTTTTTTCTTAATTTTTTTATTTTTTTTCGAACAAAGTCTCAACTTCAATTTTTTTTATTTTTTTTTCGGGTCTCCTTTTCTTTTTTTTTTCATTTTTTTTTTCAACTTGCACGTCTACAACATCGACCCTTCCCAGGAAACATCATGGTTCACTACTGCGGGCCACAATACGCCCAACGGCCGCCGTTTGCGACGGCATCTTCACGCACTTGTGAACTCCCATGTGGGAGACTTCAGACATAAAATTCTCCTACATAGACGTGTTGGAAACATGTTGAAAATATATTGATCACATTTTGATCACATGCTGATAACATGTTGAAAACATATAGGCCGCATGTTGGCAAACGATTGGAAACATGCAACCGCCCCTCCTAAACGATTGGCCGCACCATTTCACCCCCTTCATATGTTGGTTCCAACTTGTGTGTAAGTTGAAACCATGATGGAAATTTGCCACAATTTTTCTGCTGTGTTGCCAGATCACACAGATGTCCAAGTAGTCACTTGCAAGCAGAGAGCAGAAATGTACCGAGATTCCATCCAATTAACAGCAATACAATGATCTTTCGAGCCATGCTCAAGCCCTCAGGCCATACCAACACAGTACCCAGCGTAGCTGCTCTTTATCTGGCGCCCAGCGTCCAGCCTACACTACTCACCTACCCTTCTACAACCGCATTCATGCAACAGTCTCACTTCGACTTTGAAGACCACTTTGTATGATGTCAATACCATAGTCAACCTCTCACATACACCAGGTACGTATCCCTCTCCTTCTTTCTCTTTATCTTTCCCTCTTTGTCTCACTCTCTGTGTGAATGTGTCTCTCTTTGTGTGTGTCACAATGTACTGTGTCTCTGTGTATGTCAAAGTGGTTGTGTGTCTGTTTCACTGTGTCTCTAAGTGTCTCACTGTGTCACTGTGTCTGCGTGTCACGGTGTGACTGTATATCACTGTGTGACCGTGCGTGTCTCTGTGTATCTGAGTGTCAATATGTGTCTGTGTTAGTGTCGCAGTGTCTGTGCGTCTGTGCACTGTGTTTCACTGTGTGTTTCACTGTGCACTGCATCACCGAGCACTATGTGTTTGTGCACTGTGTCATTGTGAATGTGTGTACGTCACTTTGCACTGTGTCACTGTGTAACTGTCATTGTGACTGTGTGTGTCAAAGTATCTGTGTGTGGGTCACATTGCGTGTGTGTATGTTTCTATGTCTGTGCGTCTTTATCTGCTTGTCTGTTTGTCTCTCTTGTTTGTCTGTCCGTCGTTTTTCTGTCTGTTTGTTTGTTTGTTAATCGTAGGTTTGTGTAGATGTAGAGGTTCGATCTGTAGGTCTGTCAAGTGGGGGTCAAGGCCGTAGTAAAGGTCGAAAACGCTAGGATAGAGGTCTGTAGGCAGTCGGCGGTGCAACCTCTTCCTGCGCAAGCCATGCGGAAGTATGAATCAAGAGGCAGCGACCAGTCAGCGGTACAGGTCTCAGTCTCACTGGGTTCAGTCAAGCAAGTAGCGTGTGGAACTGTGTGCACCAAGGCCTGGTGGAAAGAGCCAGACTGGCGAGCTACAAAAGTATGAATCAAGAGCCAGCGACCAGTCATTTACTTATTTCCTGCGGAAGCCATGCGGAATCGCTGCCTGAGCGACTTGTGCGAGGTGGTCTGCAGTGAGCCCGAAGACGAAGTGGGCGAGGAGCTCAGCCATAGCGACAAGATAGTAGCGGCCATAGCCGCCATAGCCGTAGTTAGAGTTCAGAGTGTGAGTGTGTGTGTGTGTTCAGAGTATCGCCTGTGGGATATCCAGGGTGATCCTCTGTATGCGAACAT